GTTTGCAGTTCTCACTACCTGGGTTACACTCCTGTGTAGCCCCCACACAACACATCTGAATTCTTCTTTCATCCCCTTCCCCTTCCCCTCCCGCTCCATCTCTGTCCCCTTCCTTTTGCAAAAGCGCTAGTTGCCTGAAGTCTCCATCCTGGAGCACTGACCATGTGCTTGTGTGGAAAATGTGCTTGTGGGGGGGTCGCATGTCCTCTGTGTGTCTGTTCGGTCTCTTCTATAGTACTGTTCATATCTACTGCCTGTTGTCTTGTGTATGGTCTTTTTTTTTTTTTCTTTCATTTATGTATTTATTACAGGGTCTCACTAAATGGCTTGGACTCATAGCGATCCTCCTGTTTTCAGCCTCCCCAGTGACTCAGTCACAGGCACATGGCCTCCCCTGCCGGCGGGACATACTGATTGAACCCTGATGCCTGTTTATGATCCTCCTGGCTCATCTTTTTTTTTTTTTTTTTTGGCAGAACCGGTGCTTGTACTTGCCAGGGAAGCACTTATTCTACTGAGCCATCTCCCCGGCCCCCAGGGCATGAATATTTTGTAGATCTTATTGACTCAAAAAGAAAATTAAAGGTTATTTTAATTTTAAATTATGCCTTATGAATCAAGTTTGAGAGTAATTTTAAAATTTAGGTGTGTCGGAATCATCTGGGTGCTTATTAGCAATGTAGATTGCTTTGTTGGGCACCAGGCACATACCTGAGCAAGCAGGAGGCTGAGGCAGGAGGATCACCTCCAATTTGAGACCAGCCTGAGCTATGCAGTGAGTTCAAGGCTAGTCTGAACTACGTAGTGTGACCCTGTCTCAAAAAATGAAACAGAAAAGTGGGTTGTGTGGATCTCCGTTTCCTCCACCTCCCACCAGCGGGTCCGGTGTGGTGTGCTTGGTATGGGACTGGAGGATCCCAAAGGAATAATTTCCCGGACCATACTGGAAACTGAACAGAGGCTGGGAACGACACCAACCCTGTTTCTGTTTGGGAAAACATTTATTGTTTCCAGCTGCAAAGCTGCTGACTTTTGGGCCAACAATTAATGTCACTTTTTATTTTAAGCTAAGTAGAATTTGTAATGGAGAAACTTTCCTGTCAAGTTAGAGGCAGTGAAATGTGGGTATGAAAGTTCTCACGCTTTACTGCAGCAGAGGAAACAGTGAGGTGCTCTGGGAGCCCTGCGCCCCTTCAGGATGGTTGGGGCCTGGCTGAGAACAGCAGAACGACGGCGCAAGGTGAGCGCCAGACTATGCACAACAAGTTGCAGGAAATTTGGAGATCAAAGGGGAGTCCAGCTGGAACCAACAGCAGGAAGTGCAGCTGCCTTTGTAAACATGAGGTGTGATGTAGCTCATGTGGTTACAGAAGACAAATAAGTTTCGGTTGCCTGATCAGTTATGTCAGTTTCTGTAGAATTGGATGACTTATGTACAGGTTCCGGTAGTCAAGAAGCAAACACTGTAGCCATGGGTCAGATCCTGCCCATGCTGCTTGATTTTGTATAGCTGGCCATATGGTAGCAATTCATCTATGTTTTCTCTTTCTTTCTTTCTTTCTTTTTTTTTTTTTTCGGCAGAACAGGGGATTGAACTCAGGTCCTTGTGCTTGCCAGGCAAGCATTTAGTCTACTGAGCCATCTCCCCAGCCCCTCATCTATGTTTTGAATGACTTAAAAAAAACAACATCTCATAAGGAATGGAAATTATATGAATTCACATTTTATGTCTATCAATAAAGTTTTATTAGAACACAGCCATGCTCATTTGTTTGCATTGCTAAAATATAACACAGAGCTGGCTCAGTGGCATAAGTGCCTGCCTGACAAGTGTAAGGTCCTGAGTTCAATCCCCAGTAAATAATAATAATAATAATAATAATAATAATAATAATAATAATAATAACAAAATATAATACATATTATCTGGTTCTACAGAAAATATTTAGAGACTTTGATTTAATACTGTCCTCTCCTAAAAACTGAACTTCCTTAGGGTAGAATGGGTCACAATTTCAACTTCATTTTTTAAATTTTATTTATTTATTTTTTTGTACTTTAGGAAAGGGTCTATAGAGTATTCAGGGTCTCATTACTAGATCAGACTCATAGTGAGCCTCCTGTTTACAGCCTCCCAAGAGCTGGGATTACAGGCGTGCATCACCACGTTCAGTCTCAGTTTGCTCCGGGAGTGGGACCAGGCACGGCAGTCCCGGGAATCGAACCCCTGGCCCCTGCGCCTGCTTGAAGGCACTTTAATCTACTGAGCTATTTGGCCAGCCCTTCAACTTCTTTCCACTGATAATCTACACTTATTAGTTTTTTGTTTTTCTGGAAAACTTTCATGCTCAGAGTTTTAGTTAACCAAAATGCTTCTGAGGAGGAAAGAACTTTCTAATTTCTAACCCCATTTTGTTTCAGAAACATGTGGAATTCATTCAAAATACATGAGATCTATGTATCCCACCAAGACATTCCCAAATCACTACACTATTGTTACGGTGAGTGATCTGTCCAGCGGGGAGACAGACAGCCCACAGACAGGAAGTGGTTGGATAGGAAGTGGCTATATCACTCAGACAGGAAGTGGCTGGACAAGAAGTAGCTATATCACACAGACAGGCCACACAAAAAGTGCCTTTGTCACACAGACAGGTCACAGACAGGAAGTGGCTAGACAGGGAGAGGCTGTTTCACATAGACAGGCTTGGGTGACAAGCACACAAGGTACTGGTTCATGGCTTGAATTCTAGGAAGCCTGGGTACTATGAGGCCAGTACAGGGCTGTGAGGCCTTAACATGAGCGAGGGTGCTAGCGTTAGGTTCCTTCATATTTGTGAGTGGCCAAGAGACGCCCTCCTGTGAGAAATACCTGTGACTTAACTGGGACCTGCCGGGAACAGTAGCTATTCATGAGGCCAACTTTGAGGTGGAAACTTTTGTGCTTTTTTAGTATTTTTATGACTACTTAACTTGATAAGGACTTCTGCTTCATAAGTGAACTCAAATACTTTACATCTAGAATATATAGTGAGACTGGTTCAAAACACTAAGAAATAAATAAATGCCTCTAATAATTTTTTGTAATTATGGCCAATGTAAACAATGCCCAATCATTATTGTAATATGGAAGCCTCTCACTTTCAATTTCTAAGCATCCACAGCAGTTAATTTATAAGAACACCAGCAGTGCAGACCGCCTGGTCTCGCTCCACATGCCCTAACTTCTGGGTCCATGTCCCGGTGTTTTATACAGGCAGGTGTGTGCTATCCTTACAGACCTGAGTATGGATCTCATGCTACTTTAACTTCAATGTATGTTTTAGTGGTACATTATTCAATCTTAATCTCTATTTTGAAATTACCATTTAGGGGCTGTATCCAGAATCCCACGGCATCATTGACAACAACATGTACGACGTGGAGCTCAAAAAGCATTTCTCACTTTCCTCCCAGGAGAAGTACAACCCCGCCTGGTGGGGCGGGCAGCCTGTGAGTGGCCCCGCCTAGAGTTTGACCACCTCCAGCCAGTTGCCAAGGGCTGGGGTGGAGGCTGTTTCACCCCTATTTAGCATTAAAATTTGAATTTTTTTAAGACATATGTGATCATCCACATGGTCTTGTGTGAAACTTGGGCACTGTGGTAGAAGTGGATCAATCTGACCTGGGCACGTGGCATACACTGGTATCCCAGCACTCAAGGCTGACACAACTGAAACAGTGTGACTTCAGGGCTAGCCTGGGCCACAGAGGCTAGCCTGGGCCACAGAGCAAGACCTTGCCTCAAAAGAAATAAACCAACCAACCAACAAAAAAGACATAGAAAGATTGTCTGTTAATATTCCCTCAATTTGATTTGTAATTTCTTTTAACTATTTATGTGTTTATGTACATATGCATATACAGATTTCTGTTTTGAGGCATGATCCCAGTAAGTTGCTAAGTGACCCAAGCTGGGCTCCAACTTGTATTCCTCCTGCCGCAGCATCCCAGTGTGCTGTGATTACAGACATGTATCACCATGCCCATGTGCTTCTAGGATTTTTTTTTTTTTATACCAGGGATCAAACTTAAGGGTCTTACACTTGCCAGGCAGGCACTTAAACCCCTGAGCTATCTCCCCGGCCTTTTGGGTGTAGTTATTTTATATATTTGGTCCAGGGTCTCACTATGCAGCTCAGATTCATGGTGATCCTCCTGCTTTCAGCCTCCCCAGTGCTGGGACTCTAGGGTTGTGCCACCATTCCTGGTCAGGCTCAGCCCACCTGGGGTCGGGGCAGGAGCCGCATGTGGTGCCAGGGATCTAACCCCAGTCCCTGCACTTGCCTAGGTAAGTGCTTAGTCCACTGAGCTATCTCACTAGCCTGCGTGTAATTCTTCTAAAGGGAAAGGAAAACTGTATTTCTTACAAGTTTTTTTTTTTTAAAAAAAAACTTGGTTCTTACTGCCTTCTTTTTTTTTAAAATTTGGAGGCCAATATTTAAGTAATTATACATTTTTAACTGTCACAAAGACAAGTTGTAGTAAGTGCCCCATAGCTGGCAATGTTGGTACATGCCTGTATTCCCAGCACGCAGGAGAATGAGGCAGGAGGACCACTGTGAGTTTGAGACCAGCCTGGGCTACAAAGTGAGCTCAAGGCCAGCCTGGACTGCATAGTAAGACCTTGTCTCAATAATAATAATAATTGCCACAAATGTTACAGCCAAAGTTTTCATAATAGTAATAGTAATAATAATAATAATAATCGTAATCATAATAATAGTTGCCACAAATTTTATAGCCAAAGCTTTTGCTCCTAGTAGGTTGCACTATGACCACGGACACTCATCACCCTGTTTGTTTTGCTTCCCTGTCTTCCTTTCTTCCAGATCTGGCTGACAGCCATGTACCAAGGCTTAAAAGCCGCCACCTACTTTTGGCCTGGATCAGACGTGCGTGTCAACGGCTCCTTTCCTTCAGAGTACCGGGATTACAACGGGTAGGTGAGCCCTTCACACGCGGCTCGGTCCGGGCGGGAATGATTAGACTCGCGCTTTAGCCATGCGCTGCAGCGTCCTTCCGCATAGCCCGGGCTGGCCGCGAGCTCCTCCTGCTCAGCACGCTGAGCGCGGGGATCCTGTGCGCCACCACGCCCCGCGGGCTTTTCTGCTTTCCATAGCCCTGGTCGCCTTGTAACACAAAGCATTTATTTACACGAGAGTGAGTCGTTTGCTGCTAGTCCGCCTCTGTTGAGCTGCACTTTTTCCTTTATTCACTGGTGATTATGTTTCAAACAAACCCAAGCGTAGATGCTGAAGGCACGTACATGCAGAGGGGAATTAGTAAGACAGCGTAGACTGCATGGAAAAGATCCGCCGCGGTCTGTCGAGGTTGAGCGCCCTGCACGAGAGGACGCAGAAACACAGCCGCACACCACGCAAGTGCTGCAGCGCGCACCGCTGCCCTCCACAGCCTGAGCCCTGTGAGACCCCACACGGTGTCTGAACTCTGCCTGGCTGTCCAGAGAGGCACAGCGTGGGCTTAGTGTCCATTTGATTACCTTTTTTTTCCTTCCCGGAACCGGGGATTGAACTCCGGCCCTTGCGTGCTTACTCTACTGAGCTATCTCCCCGGCCCTTGATTACCTATTAAACATAACCTCACTCTTCTTTACAGCTCTGTCCCCTATGAGGAAAGGATCTCCACGCTGCTGAAGTGGCTGGACCTGCCCAAGGCCGAGAGGTAACCCACAGCTCCAGGGGCAGAGGTCGGGTGTAGTGGGAGCAAGTGCGTGAGAAATGCTGTGGCACTTTATTTTTTCGTGGTGCTTGGGATTGAACCCAGGGCCTTGTGAATGCAAGGAAGGAGCTCCGCCTCGGAGCTGCATCTCCAGCCACCTGTGACAGTTTTTGAAATACAACTTGACATTGTTTTGTGTTTTTGGAGATGCGATCTCTCTATGTAGTTCAGGCCAGCTTTGAACTCACGGTGTAGCCCAGGGTGGCCTCAAACTCTCAGCAATCCTTGTGCCTCAGCCTCCCCAGATAAGGACCACAGGTGTGTGCCGCCATACCCGGCTGCAATTGCCTTTGTGTGGGCACTTTTCAGCAGGTATTTCTGAGAGCTGTTTACTCTTTTGTGTGTGTGCTAGGAATTGAACTCAGGACTTTGCGCTTGCCAGGCAGACACTCTACCCCTAAGCTATATCCCCTACCCTCTGTTTGCTCTTGAGGAGGCAGTTGACACTATTAACTATGTAGACAACTAGTGCTGGAGCAGCGGTGGCTCATGTCCCAGAGTGAGGTCAGGCGTAGGAGGCTGCTGGAGGGCACGCTGGGTGATACCTCAGAACCCAGACACGCACAGAGTGGGTGTGTGCAGCACCGCGTGGGGGCAGTGGCCTGCCAGGCAGCGAGAGCACTCCAAAGGCCCCAGCGTGAGTGTGCAGGCAGGTAGCAGCCGCTGGAACACAGTGGGCTTTCCCAGGCGAGGCACACGGCTCCTGGCCAGGCCTCAGAGAGAGAAGGAGGAGGGGGCAGCGGCTGCAGGGCCACGCTGTGCCTGCCCTAGCCTGGCCGTCTCTGTTTTCACCTCCAGACCAAGCTTCTACACCATCTATGTGGAGGAGCCTGACTCTGCAGGCCACAGCAGTGGACCCATCAGCGCTCAGGTAAGTTCAAGAAAATGGAAAAGCATTGGGTCCTAACCTACAAGTTAAGGCAGAGTCCTCCCTTTGGAGCACAAAGGTATCTGAGGAATACATGATTATTCAAAATAACTGAAGTCTCAGAAGGACCTTTTTAGCCACAAAATAGTTAAAATTCTCTAAAGTTCTTAGTGCAGCTTGGGTCCTTTGATCGAACACTTACTGAGCCTTCTGGCATGGCACTGTTGATTCATACACTGAAAACATGAACTGCATGTAGCTGGGGGTGGTGGCACATACTTACTCTCAGCAGCCGGAGGCTGAGGCAGGAGAATTGCTGAGTTCAAAAATAGCCTGGACTGCATAGTAAGTTCAGATTCAACTTGAACTACATGGTGAGACCCTGTTTCAATAAATACATGTGTTCATATGTACATGTGTGTGGCATGGGCCGACTCCCCATGCTAATGGCCTGAACTCGAGCAAAGTTGCCAGTCAGTCTGTTGCAGTGCATTGGCTGTCTACTCATCCAGTGGCTACAGCCCTAATTCCTTATAATTTGATTTAACGTTACTGCTGCACGCAATGTTATTCCCTTCCTAGGCATCTGTTATTGTTGGAGTGAATTTAAGTACTACTTTCTTCATTAGCTAATTTCGTTGTTGTTTTGTTCTTGTGTTCATTTTTTCCTTCTCTCATTCCTTTCTGTTTTATTCACTCCTTTTGCAAAGTTTGTGTAATCTTCCTTTGTCCTTCTCTTCTTCTCTCTATCTTTCCTCTTCTCTTCTTCTATCTTTCCTCCTAACCCTAAAATTTAAATTTTCTCCTGAATGTTAGATCACCACATTGAGGGCATATTCATTATATACATTTTTCTGTTTCGTCTTAGATTTTCGTATATAACTATACATATAGTTCACATGGTTAAAGGTGGCAAACTAATAGCTACCTGGGCTAGTTTGATGCTATTGTTATTTTATTTTATTTTATTTTATTTTATGTGTATTTTAGGGAAGGGTCTACAGGGTGTTCAGGGTCTCACTACTAGATCAGACTCATAGTGATTTGCCAGTTTACAGCCTCCCAAGAGCTGGGATTACAGGCATGCACCACCACTCCCAGTCTCAATTGCCATCTCAGCATTCCCCAGGGATGGGGCCGGCATGGCTTGCCCAAGGATTGAACCCCTGGCTGCTGTGCCTGCTTGCAGGTGCTTTAATCCACAGAGCTATTTGGCCATCCTGCTATTGTTATTCTTGATGGTACCACTTTAACCAAGGTGACATGATTTCCCTAACCACTTGTTCTTCCTGGAATAGCAAGGCTGACATGGCCTAAAAGTCACAAAAAATACTACAAGCCAGGGCTGATGAACCAAGAGCTAGACCAAATAGGAAGTAATGTCTCATCCCCAATGAATTGAACAGCTAGAATCTTGCAACAGACTCAAAACCCAAAAGTCAGTTACAACTGGAAGACACCTCTGGGAGGTAGTCATTTCCTAAAGGTTCTAAAGACCAGCGGTAAAGCTAACTGAAAAAAGGACTTTACAAGCATCAACCCATAGATGAAACTAAAAAAAAAATTAGAAAATGAGAAGGCACCTAAGGAGGAAGCAGCCCCAGGCTCCCAGCTCACCAAAGGCAAGCCCAGGGAGAAAAGAGGTAGAACAACTCAAAGGCAACCTACGTGAACTCTCTCAAGTGTTAATAGGAGAAATAACAAAACAGCTGGATGGGCCTAGAAGAAATCAAATCATAAATAATTTCTCATATAACTACAGAGATAATGACCACAATGAAAAATGCAGTTAGTGACTTTAAAGGAGATAGTGATTTTAAAAAAGATGAGCTTCAGAAAATGCTGGAATATAAATGCCCAACATAGGAAAGACATGGACTCTATGAAACAGATTCAGACATGTCTTGATTAAAAGTTGCACTGAAAATATACACAGCAGAATGAGCTAATGTAAGACTAGAATATCAGATGGAGAGGACAGGATTGGGGTTAGTCATCATGAAAAGAGGTATTTCTTAGAAATAGCAAGAGGCCATGACAAATCTAGCAGCTGCTAGATAATGCAAAGAAGAATAATGTAAGGCTGATAATAGTCAATGAAAAAGCAGATCATGCAAATGAGATAAATAACTTGTTCACAGAAGTAATGGCCAGAAACTGCTCGACTAGGAAAAGAGAATCTGACATACAAATAAATGAGACATATAGAACTCCAATTAGCCATGATCAAAAATATCTGTGCAAGGCATATAATAAAGATTCCAGAAATTTAATAGAAGAACAAAATATTAAAAGTTGTTAGAGAAAAGAAACAAATCACTTATAAAGATTTTTTTTTCTTTTTCTTTTTGAGGCAAAGTCTCACTATGCAGTTCAGGCTGGCCTTGAACTCACTTTGCAGACCATGCTGGTCTTCATCCCCCAACAATCCTCCTGCAATCCTCTTGCCTCAGCCTCTCCAGTGCTGAGATTATAGGCTGGGATTACAGGTGTGTGCCATTACACCCAGCTAAATCATCTATGAAGGAAAACCCATCAGAATCACAGTAGACTTCTCAACACAAGTCTTCTTCTGGTCAAGGGGAGCTGGGAGTGAAGTATTTTAAGCCTGAAAACAAAACAATCTTCACCCCAGATTAATATACCCTGCAAAACTATTTTCCAAAATTGTTGGAGAAATGAGATAGTTCCATGACAACATCTCAAGAAATTTATAACCTCCCAACCAGCACTCTAAAATGTTCTGAAGGACTTTCTAGGAAGAGATAACAAGAGCTACAACTCCATGAACCCCAACAGAATGAACCTACTTAGCAGGCAAAGCACATAATTAAATGGGGGACAAGGGAGAGAGAGAGAGAGAAGAACCAAAAACAGGAAAATAAAAAGACAAGAAAAAGTCAGTGCAGGCCAGTTATAACCATCAAAGTTATAGCCTCAATTCACTGATCAAAAATGGTGAGTACAATGGATCAAGACACAAAATCCAACAATATGAAACATTTAATTCAAAAAGAAACTCATAGTTTAAAAATTAAAGGATGAAAAACAATACTCCATGGGATGGGAACCCAGAAGAAAACAGGGGAAGCTATTCTCTTTGCAGAATAAATGGATTTTAAGCAAAGTCTGATTAAGAGAGACAAAGAAGGTCACTACATCTTTGTAGAGGGAACAATACAAGAGGAAGAGATAATCATAAATGTGTGCAGCCAGTATACCCAGTGATATAAAGTAAATATTAATGAGCATGAAAAATAGAATGACCACTTGTAGTTCTTTTACTATGGTAAAATAACTATTTTACCATAGTAAAATTATGATGGGGGCCTGAATAGCCTACTGTTGGAAATAAAGACAAAAAAGTCAATAAAAAATAATCAAAATTGAACCAAACTTTTGAACGAATGGGCCTTGTTACATATCTACGGACTATTCCAGCCCATCACATTAGAATCACATTCTCTACAGCTGCACAAGGGAAATTCTCCAAATTAAACAAAATACCAACTCATAGAACATGCTTAAGTAAATGAAAGGAACTGAATTGTCTCATATTATCTGGCCATAGTGGAATGAAATTGGAAACCAATGGCAAAAAGCCACAAGAAGTTCATAAACACATGGAAATTAAATAACACCCTACTGAATGAACAGTGGGCAACAGATGAAATTAACATTAGACAGGTTTTTTTAAATAATTAAACTATATTACCAGCACAATAAATCTGAACTTATGGGATGCAATGAAAGTAGTCCTATGAGGGAAAATTTATAGTGGCAAGTTCTCATATCAGAAAAAGAGAATGAAGGGCCAGTCAGATAGCTCAAGGGATTAAAGTGCCTGCTTAGGCAGGTGCAGACCAGGGGCTGGGGTTCGATCCCCTGCCTGCTATGCCAGCCCTGCCACCAGGCACACTGAGGTGGAGAATGAGACTGGGCGTGGTGGCTCACCTGTAATACCAGCACTTGGGAGGCTGAAAAACAGGAAGGATCACTACAAGTCTGATTTGTGTAGTGAGACCCTGTAGGTCCTATACTCAATACATTACAAAAAAAGAAAAGAAAAAGACAACGAGTTCAAATAAACTACCTAATACTGAGCCTCAAACTTCTAAAAAAAAAAAAAAGACCAAATCAAGCCCAAAGGTGGTACAGGGGAGAAAATTACAAAAATCAGAGCAGAAATTAATGCAGTGGAGATTAAGAATACAAAGAATGAATGAATTAGAGAGTTGGTTCTTTGCAAGATTAAATAAAATTGACAAACTCTTAATCAACCTTATCAAAAAAAGGAAAGAAAAGGTTCAAATTCATGCAATTAGGAATAAAAAGAGTGAATTCACAATAGATCGTGCAGAAATCCAGAAGATTACCAAATACCTACTTTGAGAACATGTATCTAACAGGATGGAAAACACAAGGAATGTATAAATTCCTGGATATAGATGAATTGCCAAAGCTGAATCAAGAAAATATAAATATCGTCAGTGAAATTGTAGATGTAGTTAAAAACCTACTACCAAAGAAAAGCCCAGCTCCTGATGGACTCATTGCTGAATTGTACATGAAATTTAGAGATCTAATATCAATATTTCTCAAACTCTTTAATGAAATAAAAAAGGAAGTGGTACTCCCAAAGTCATTCCTGGAAGCAAGCATAACCCTGGTACCCAAAGCAGAGAAAGATCCAATCGATGAAAAGGAACTACCGGCTCATCTCCCTAATGAACACAGATGCAAAAATCCTCAATAAGACACTGGCAAGCAAAATGAAGCAAGTCATCAGGAAGGTTATACACCATGACCATGTAGGGTATACCCTAGGCATGCAAGGATATGTAATAGCTAAATCCTAGTAACATCCCAAATGCCCATCAGTGAATGAATGGTAAAGAAGATGTGTTTTCATATACAATGAGGCACTATTCTGCTATAAAGAAGGATAAGCTTGAGACATTTCTGGGTTAGTAATTGCAACTCAAGCCATAATCTTAAGTGAAATGAATTGGACATACATTTAAATACTGCACTGTCTCTGTGGTGTGAAAAACCGAGTGTAAGTAAGGACCGAAGGTGTGATAGATATTGAAAAATGGGAAGTATATGTTTGAGTGAAAAGGGAAACTAAGGAGAGGGAGGGAGAAAGGCAAGAAAGGATCAGAAAAGAAAAGAGAATAGGAGGAGAAAATGGAAATAAAGCTTTGTTAGTAAGGGAAGGAGGGGTTGAAGGGAGGGGAGGGGAGTAGGAAAAAGAGGAAGCCAGGTAAATCTTGTACGGGTATAGATTCCCTACGATGAATGCTGTCACCATGTATATCTAAAGTATACCAATAGAACAAAGTCCTTTACGTTAAAAAATAAACAACACAGGGCTGGGGAGATAGCTCACTGGCTTAAGTGGCTGCCTGGCAAGCACAAAGTCTTGAGTTCAATCCCTAGCACCAAAATAATAATAATAATAATAATAATAATAATAAATGCAAATGCAAAAAGGCAACAGGTGTTACAATAGTACTGGGAGACCTTAGACATTTTCCCTAATCTTTTACTGTTACACTCATGCATTCATCGGTGAAATTTACTTCACCTGGAAGTCCAGGCAATGAACTATATGATCAAGTGTAGAAAAATTTAAAACCTTAACATGCTTTCTAATTCGCTATTTAGTACAGGGTCTTCCCCCTACCCCTGTATTTTAGGGAAGGTGTTCAGGGTCTCCATATCACCATGCCCAGTCTCAATCTCTGTCTCAGAACGCCCTGGGGCCAGCACAGCACAGCATGGCGGGCCTGGGGATTGAACCTCCAACCACGGCGCCTGCTTGCAGGTGCTTTAATACACTCAGCTGTTTGGCCAGCCCTTAATTCACTATTTAGAAATAAGAAGTAGCTGGTACTCTGGCCGCTTTTCTTTGTTTCCTGGGCACGCTGGTCAGTAAGAACTGCTAAGGTATCTAGTCCACCCGCGGCCCCTGCACGGTGCAGTGGCGCAGGACTCCTGGCCTCCTCTCGCAGGTTAGCGTGCCGCGTGGGCCTTGTCTTTGCAGAGAGTTCTGGAAGGGCAGAAGAGTGTGCACCCTGAAGCGCGCGTTGGGTTTTAGATTTCCCCAATTGTAAATCAGACCTGGGACTGCATCCCTGTCCACCACTTTCACTTGTGCACCAAGGCCCCTCCGGAGCTAATGCCCAGAGTAGAATTTCTGTGTTACAACTACTGCTCCTTTGAACTCTCCGGGTCTCCCTTGTCCCATGAGACATGCTTGCTTCTGCTTGATTAGATGATGGCACCGCTCATGAAAACGATCCACGCACCTTCTTGATTCAACCTCTGCAGGTGATCCAAGCCCTGAAACTCGTGGACGAGGCCTTCGGGCTGCTGATGGAGGGGCTGGCGCAGCGGGGCCTGCACAACTGTGTCAACATTATCCTGCTGGCTGACCATGGTACACTGCATTTTTAAAGTTGTTTCATTTGTGTGTTTTCCTTGAGACAAGGCCTCACTATTGTAGTCCAGGGCGGCCTCGAACGTGAAGCGGTGCTTCTGTCTCAGTCACCCAGAGTGCTGAGATCTCAAGCATGTGCCACCATGCCCAGCTTTGCTCCTTAGTTTATTCTGTTTTGGGTGTTTTGTTTTGTTTTGTTTTGTTTTGTTTTGTTTTGTTTCTTTTTTGCTTGAGAAAGGTCTTGCTGCATAGTTCAGACTGGTCTTGGAATTACTGTGAAGCCCAGGGGATGTGAGACTCAGCGAGCCTCCTGTGCAGCCTGCCAGGGGCAGCGACCGCAGGTGCACATCACCACACTGGCTCTTCTTCCAGTTTCTATGTCTTCTTCCACCCAGGGATGGACCAGACCTACTGTGACAAGGTGGAATACATGGCGGATTATTTTTCTGAGATAAACTTCTATATGTATCAGGGGCCGGCTCCCCGCATCCGGGCTCGGAATGTACCCGAGGGCTTTTTCAGCTGTGAGTATGGAGGCCCAGTGGGAAGGGAGAAGGGGAAACAGGTGGCACCAGGCCTAGCATAGTTGGAGGGCATGCAGGCTAACCATACCCTCTTCTGACTTACTTCAAAGATCACAGAAGCAAATGCTGTTCCCAGTTTCAGTATAGTCCCACCACAATGTCTAGGGTGATACGGTAGGCAGTACTGTTGGGTTAAAGCATAGTCTGCTCTTTCTCTTTGTGATGGGAATCGAACCCAGGGCCTTAGGCACGCTAGGCCAGCGCTCTACCACTGACCTGCAACCCCAGCACTTTTAGTTCATACATTTATTTTGAGATAGGGTCTTGTTAAATTTCCTAGGCTTACAATTAATAAATTCATACTGATTAAATGTTGAAATGTTAAATCTTGATATGTAGGATTAAATAAAATATTATGATTTAAAAATATTAAAAAAAAATTTCCTAGGCTGACGTCGAATTTGCAATTCTTCTGCCTCAGTCTCCTGAGTAGCTGGGATAGAGGCCTGTGCCACAGCACCTAGTGCCTTTTCCTGTATTCTGAAAGGCCAAAGTAATTCTTTGTAGTAACTGTTTAATCTAAGCAGGTCGTATGAGGTGTTGTGAAACTCACCTCCATCGTTCCCAGCCTTTCTAATTGTCAAGTGTCACTTGTAATGCAATGTCTTTCTTTCTTTCTTTTTTTCCGAACAGTTGATTCTGAAGGCATTGTTAGGAACCTCAGTGTAAGTATTGCGGTTTCCTTAGTGTATCCCAGTTAGCGTGAGAACCTACTCTGGATCCCGAGATGGGTGCCCGGTGATCCGGGTCTGAGCTCTGCCCTTCTGCGGGGACCTGTCCTAGCCACGGACGCGACCAGGTTCATCTCAGTGGCGCTCATTTGGGGTTTGAGCCCATGGGGAACGCGGCTGAGTCCCTTTTGGACATGGTTGTGCCGGCGGGTGTCACAGTGCGGCACGGCCAGTTGCGGAACTTGGCAGATCTTCGTAAATAGGTTCAAAAAAGAATCTCTTTGCCCTCAGTGTAATTAAACCGCTTGTCAGGGGAGGTAGTTGGGGGTCTTCATAGTGAACCATATACCCTATTCTTTATTTTTAAGTTGGGGGCAGGTTCTGAGACAGGTTTTTGCCATGTAGCCCAGGGAAATCCTCCTGCCTCAGCCTCCGGATTGCTGGGAGCACCTGCATAGCTGCCACGCCCAGCCTTACAGTTGCTTTAGATTTGTTCTGCGCTGGCTTGCAAGTAAACGCTGGGAACACTGCTTGTAGCAGGAAGCGGGACCTTCAGAGTGCGCGTCCCCTCCGCCCGAGGGCCCTGGCCCCATCCCGCGCCGTGGTTCTGCTGGGTCGGGCTCTGTGGGCGCCCCGGGGTACACTGCAGACCCTGCCCCCGCGTCGCCCTGTGGTGACAGCGTGTGCCCAGCCCCCACCCCCGCCCCTTCCCGCGATCGCGTAGCGGTGTGCGGCTTCTGCGGTCCAGCCGGCCTCGGGCGTCTGTTCTAGGACTGCGAGGACTGGACGCGAGGACCCGGGAGCGTCCCTCCCGCTGCTCCCGGGCGCACACCGGCCTGGGACCTAGCAGGGGCAGCCAGGCAGGCGCGGGCGCCCGGCGCTTCACAGGGCCTGCCACCTCAGGGCCGCCGGCGCCGGCTCCTTTTGCTTTGCGCTCGGAGACCCGGTCCCGCTCTGCAGCGCAGGCTCAAGGCTGGCCCTGAGCTCACTCTGGAGCCCAGGCTGTCCGGGAATCCATGGCAATCCCCCTGCCTCAGCCTCCCAAGATGTGATCAAAATTACATCTCAGCTCTGCTTTCATCTCGGTTCTCAAATGCACATAATAACCTCGTTCTTTGGCGGGTTTCCTCTGGTTCTACTTCGGCCACACCCCAGGTGGGCAGAAAATTGTCCTGAGCTCCTTCCTTCCCTTCCCCCTGGGGGAAGCCCCAAGATCCTGGCCTAAGAGGGCTGCAAGGCAAGTGGCAGTGCAGGAAAGTCTGGAGCCCAAATGCTGTCACATGGGGCAAGAGCACGTTGGCTGCCGCCCTCTCTCCTTCTGTCATCTCCCTTACTCTGCAATTTTCAGTGCTGCCTTTAATGTTTTTGTGAGGCGTGTCTCATAATTTTCATCTTTCTTTTTTCTTTTTTTTTTGAGAGATGTTTTTATATTATTATTATTACATGCTTGCAGCGCATGCAGTTTAGATTCGTCTTGGGGATCATGTACACAATATGGCTT